GAGAGAGAGAGAGAGAGAGAGAGAGAGAGAGAGAGAGAGAGAGAGAGAGAGAGAGAGAGAGATGAGCGATCCAAGATTGGTTGTCACTTACCTATGAGCCGAGCGGTGGAGTCCGGTGGAGGAGGAAGACGGCGGCCATAGCCGCAGAGCATTGACATAGAGTGCCGGAGGAGAGAGAAAGGGAGGACAGAGAAGGAGGGACTAAGGAGAGAGAAGAAGAAGTGTGGGAGGAGGAGGTTGGAGAAGAAGGCAGACATAGCCGGGGGCGAGCACAAAAAAAATAAAAAAAAAAAATAAAAAAAATACAGCGGAAGTGAAGGGAAAGAAAGTGAAGGACGGGGAAGTAGACGGCGAGGGTGACGAAGGTGAAGGTGCCAGAGCCATAGCCGAGATGAAGGGTTGACCGGGCGTTGACCAGGGCGTTGACCAGAGGGTTGACCAAGGGTTGACCAGAGGGTTGACCAAGCATTGACCGGGGCTTGTCTGCGTTGACTCGGCGTTTTCCAAGGCGTTGACCGAAGCTGCTGACCAAGATTGTGACCAAGCTGGAGTTGGTGATATCTCGATGAACCCTCAGCCTATCCCCTTACCCTGTGGATGTGCACTTACCCCACGGTACTTGCTAAGTCTGTCTGTCTACTCTTTCTGCATTGAGTCTTCTGTCCTAGGTGCTAGGAATCTGTGGATGAAGGATAGGGCCTTGCTGCCAAACCTGCACGGGCTTGGTAGGACCAAAGCTCTACTCTAGCACTTGGAGACCTGGGCATGAGCGGCGAGCGCTCGTTAAACAACTCGTCTAGCCCAATGACCGGTACTGTCCGGCAGGTCTACAGAGTTCAGTGTGGAGGGTCTGAACTCCGAGCTGTAGGCTGAAACGAAGGCCGTCTTTAAGTTTCGAGGCCTGGTTGAGCCACTCCCCTACCGGACCCAGAAGGCTGATGATCCGTGTCTGACGACTCGACTGTCCCGAGGGATACGAACCCCTCCAAGGACCGGTACTGACCGGCGGGCTGCTCGGTGTGGCACAGGAGGCTGGACGGGCTGAGTTGTGGGCTGAAATCGCCAGAGGAACCAAGCTGATCGCGTCGTCCTGTCTGCGACGTTAAAGAATTACTGCGGAGTTTGGGGGATCTCCTTAAATGCCTCCTGATCAGCTCTTGGTTTTGTAGTGACAGCCTTAGAGTAGTCTTGGGTTAGTAGTGGCCATAGTTGACAGGGTCTTATCCTGTGGTCCTTAGGAAGTCAGTCAGTAGGTTAGTGTGTCCGGGTAGGGCTACGTGGTGAGGAGTGGGACCCTTGCCGTGCACCAACACCACAATGGACGACTACCCGATGTATGGGTTGCTGGTTGGGTTCTCCCTCTGGGGGACCCTCTGGATTCTCGTCTTTCCTCTGGGATTTTGGCATACCTTTGCGTGTAGAGTAGGGCCCACTCGAGGTGGTACTGCCACCCAACCATACACGAAGGAGGAGGAGGAGAAGATGGCCGCCATCCTGCAGGAGAGGAAGGAGAAGAAGGATGCCAAGAAGAAGGCCTTGAAAGAGGAACAGGCGGCCAAACTAAAGAAGATGGAAGAAGAGATGGCCAGGGAAAAAGAGAGGTTGAAAAAGGAAGAAGAAGAGAAGTTGAAGGAGGTGGATGAAGAAGTGGAAGGACCGCCACTGCAAAAGAGTGGGCAGCACAGTGACAGCAGCAGTGATGAGATGGAGAAGAAGATTTCGGAGTGGATCGCCAACTTATCCCTGGGTGAGGAGGAAGAGGTTGCTATGTACATCCCCAAGGATGAGCAAGAAGCCGCCATGAAGAAATGGGAAGCAGAAGAAGATGTTCTGACGCGGCGGGCGATGGAGGATGAACAGAGGATGGCGTGGAAGCTCGCAGTGATGAGGGAGAAGAAGAGAAGAGTGGAGGCGGCGAATGCAGCAATCCAAGAACTAGCGGAGGTGAGGACTGCCTTAACAACACAATTGACTCCGCAAGTAGATCTCCAACGCAAAGTGGAGATCATCGCCCAGAGCGTTGACCGGTTAGCTAAAGTGCAAGAAAAGCACTATGAGTTTAGTCGCAGCCAGGAGATATCCGTGCGTTCGATGCGAACGGGATTACGGGACTTTGGTCGCGAACTAGTAGGCGCTGTGGGATCCGAGGTGAGTCATCGCCTCGAGAAGACTGAGCGTTTTTGTGTCGGCGCCATCGAAGGCGTCAAGGTGGCCGCTCCCAAGGAGGAGGAGGCCCGTCCTCGCAAGGAGCCAGTCAAAGTCAAATTCCCTGATTCCTACAGTGGGAAAAGGGAAGAGAACTTTGACAATTGGGAGACCAATGTTAAGACCTATGTGCATTTGCAACAGGTCTCCCCGGATCAGCATGTCTTAATTGCGATCCATGCACTTAGAGACGAGGCTGCCAGTTTCGCGAGATCCCTTGTTTGTGCTGCCAACTGTAGTGACGATCCAGTTGCGTACTCCTCGTTTACGTCCCTCATTGAATTCTTGAAGCTGCTGCGCGAGCGATTCGCTGATGTTGCCCATAGTGTCAAAGCCTCAGATAGGCTTCAGACAATACACTCGCGCCAATGGAAGAGTGCAAGGGCACTCAAGGGCACAATGG